GATCTCAAGGAATGTGTTTTTCTTGGACATATCAAAGATGGAATTACTGGAGAGATCTCGCACACTGGATTTTATTAAAACATTGCAAAGACTGGGGTAGAATCGCTGCACGTGGGTACCTCTCATTTAGAGGAGGCTCTCAAGGCGTCAAATGCTCAGCCCTTAGGGTTGATCACATCTCAGATACGTTTATCTACCTGCTGTGATGATTTCATACTGTAGGTTCAGATTGTATCTCCACTATTTAATTTCAAAGCCTCTCCCCATCAGGCTTTGAAGAAATCTTTTCTTTTTTTTTAAACAACTGATAACTCTGCTTTGGATGGAAACGTCTTGAGAAAAGCATACCCTTTGCTAATGTTTCACCGAGATCAATTAGCACCAGCTCCAAGGTTCAGCATTTCCCATCACAGCTGCACATAGGTGGCTTTCGGGAGCTGTTGTCCCTCTCCAGCCACGCAAGTGACTTCATTGTACCCAGACAGGAAAAATCTTCCAGCGGGCACGCAATGCTGCTGGAGTTTATTTTGCAGCAATTACAGGTCCCTTCACGACTGCCTTGGCACATGGCTCCAGTCATTCCTCGAGTTCGCTTCCTCTGGAAAATTCCACTGACACCGAAGGAAAACTCATGCTGGGGTTGCTGACGCAATGCTTGCTTTCCTGCAAGAAACGAAAAGGCTTTTAAATCATCAGTGGACTTTCCTCTTTCAGAAAATTGAGCTGTAACTGCCGGCCAAAACAGTAGCCCTGGAGCCAGGCTGACGTCACCGGTGGCTGTGGGTGATAAGGTTTGTGTTACCTGTGGGAGCCGTGTCCCATGGGGAGGGGGCAGGAAGCGCTCTCCCTGGCAAAGCTTATTTTCCCCTCTAAGATTAGAAATTCTTTGGCGTCATTTGCATAATACGTGAGGAGGAAGATCTGAGCCGTGCAGCTCCGCTTTTCCCCCTCCAAATTCGTGTCGAATTCAGTGACGTGCTTCAGACGGGGTTTATTTGGGAGCCGGAGCGCGTGCGGTCGGGAGCTGGCTGACCTGCTCTGTGGTTTGCATTGCCAGCTGGAGCTGCCTTTGTTCCTCCTCTCATTGCCAAAGCCACGTTCAGCTTCAGTTCTCCGCTTGATTGCTGTAATTAAATTCCAGCCAAATATGCATTAACGTGTTCGTTCTGGAAAATAAAGCATTTAGTTATTTTAAGGTTAAAATGGGCTTTGGAAATAGCTAAGCTCTGCAGACCTTGCCGGTGCCCTGGTGACGCAGGATGCTGCTCCTCGGGGCTCTGCAAGGAAATTAAGCTGCTTTTGATCAGTCTGTCTTGTCAGTCTCTTACTCCCTGTGTAAATTTTTTTTTTTTTTTAAGCCTTGTGGCATAGGCTTACTTAATTAGGGACTCAATTCTCAAATATTTGCAATGTTTTCTTACAAATTGGAATTTGGTGAAAAAGGAGACCGGCACTCACTACTACTTAAAAACCTTCAGAATCATTCAGGTTGGAAAAGACCCTTGGGATCATCGAGTCCGTGGACTGCAGCACCCTGGGTCACTGTGCTGGGCTGAGGATGGACTCGTATGAAGTGCCGTGAGCTGATTTCGGGGCTCAACCACCCCAAAGCAGCCAGACTGCTGCTCTCCTGCCCTCCTCCCTTCACCGTGGGTCAGCTCCCGTGGTTCTTCAAACCCTCCCATGGGCTGGTTGGACTCACTTGACCCAACAGCAAACGACTTCTGTTTTCTTTCTGTTGAATGAAGGAGTTGAGTTGGCCCATGGAGAGCTCCAACAAGGACCAGATCCAGCATAAGACGGGAAAAACTACCCCATTGTCAGTGTGAAGGTGAGGAGAAAGCCTCCCCCTCCTCAGGATCAAATACTGTATGTGGCATAGCTCTGGGCTGGGAGCCACAGGCCGGTTGCCCGCTGCCTCTTCTCAGCGGGCTTTCCTCTGAGCGCCTTACGGCTTCCTCCGCTTCCATCCCAGCAACGGGGCGCTATCACTACGCAAGAGTAAATTTATTTGAAACACTGACTGTTAACATGGGATGCTAGCCTCTGATGGTCTCTTTGGTGAAACTCGTAGGGGCTGTAATTGAGACGTTAGTCTAAGGCAGACGGTGAGGATTTTGGCAGTTGTTTTGGCTTACTTTCAATTCTGACGCCTGAATTCCACTGGAGAAGTCAAGCCAAGCAGCATTCAGATACCAGTCCCTTGTATTAAGTTGAACAAGTTTATTTGGTGATGCTACACGTTGGGCACGCAGGTAGCTCGTGAGGAAATACTTTGAAAATGTCCTGACACGAGCATCATCTTTCTTCTTTGGCTGTTGTACGGTAACATATTTACTGCTGAGTCAAAAAGCCAAAGCATATCCAGAAATGAGTTTTCTGTTGTGGTTTTCCTGGGGAAAAACCTTTCCTCCAGAAAGTGACTTCATCAAGAGAGAATTGCATCTAACTAGGTAATAGGTGCGAGTAATGAGATTTGCTTTCGTAGTCAGCTTTGCTCTGAGCTCGCGCCCGAGTTGTGGAGTTCAGCGCAAGGTGTTCCCACGTGGGGTTGGAGCTGAGGTCCGGCTCCCAGGATGTGCTGCTGTTGGACGTGAGTGTGGGCAAGTTGTTTTTTTTGAGAGAGAGCATAAACTCTGTACAAGACTTTTCTGAAAACTTGCAGGGGAGAGTTGAGCCTGGGGAGGGGCTTCGGTAGTTGTTGGCTTTTGCATTTGTCGCCTTGGACACTGCAGTGAAAAAGCTTCTCGGCAGGCTTCATCCAGGTCTTGAGGTGGAACTGCCTCTGGGCCAGCAGAATATTCCCCCTGCATCTCCCAACGCATGCAGACTGCAGTCCCTCGGGAAGGGACATCAGAGCAAGACGTAGCCTTATTCACGAGCATCCTCACACGGGGTTGTCCTCCTCCCTTCTGGTGCTGTTCAGTCTGCTGCTTGATGCAAGGTCTGTAGGCTATTCCCAACCTTCTTTTTCTTCCTGCTTTGGGCTTAGTTGCTTTGAAGATACTCCAGAGGTCAAGATGCCTTCACAGTAAGTTTCTACCACATCCGCTGGAATGAGAACTTGACCCCAGCTATGACTATTTAGTGTTAAGAGAGTATAAATAATAGGTCCAGTCTATCTCGACCCCATATTCAGAGTCATGGTCTTCCTCCAGATACAGTTGTGGCTCTAATACCGAAGACTAGACCAACCCGCTGCAGATAGCACGTGCAGGGTTAAATAGTGTATGTCAGAGCAGCACTGGAAAAGGGTGATGATGCTAAATGAAGGTGCTGGTGAATAATGCTGAGCCATAATCCTTCTTGGGACTCTCTTACTAGGCAGTCAGCAGTTTTGTGTGCTAATACGTAAGCATCCCTCTTCTGAAGCTGGAGTGAGATTTGTGGGAGAGGTGAACGTGAAAGAAGAGTTTCTCCTCCCATAAAATTCTGTATATACCAAGATAGACGTGGGACAAATTGTAGAATGGCTGTAATTCAATCAGCAAAAATAAAGAGTAGGATGTTGCACTGGACTTCAAAGTCAGCATATACAAGCTCTGGAGTTGGGGAAGAGGTGAGAGGCTGTAGGAGTTTTTACTCTGTTTTAATACTGCCAAGCAAGGAGGAGATGAGACTTGTTAGTGACTAGTGAAGCCTTCAAAGGGTAGAGCAAGCTGCTAACAAAGAGCTTTAATTATCCTCTTGTCTGTTGAAAAAGTGTTGTGGCAAGAAACGCAGTCTATAGAATTATTAGAAAACTTGGAGGTTGCTTTTTTATCTCAAAAGGTAGAGGAAGTTGCGTGGGGAGTGGTTGCTTCAGTTGTGTGACTAATGGGGTGGTACTGGCTGAACCCAGTGATGGAAGGTGCTTTTCCTCCCCCAAATTCTCCGAATGAGGTGGTTCGTTATTTTGGGAAAAGGAATAAAGACATCATTGTACCGGTAATTTGATGAGTGCAATAAACTTCATAAACCTTTAAGCAAGGACAAACTTTGCCTACAATCCGAAGGGAGAAGGTTATGAGCCAGTAATTGAACTGTCATGTGCAGGTTAGAGTAAGGGTGAGGAAAAATCCCAAGTTAAGTCACCCACAGATAAGAGAAGCAATAAAGTCTAGACCTGAAGAAACTCAGCCTGGAGTACTTAAGGCACTGCCTGGTGCAGAGGCTGAAAAGTTAGCTCTAAATTATTTTCGGAGGGTTGTAGAGGAGAAGGGAAGGCCAGAGAACCAAAGAAAAAGGGGAAATGCAAGTAAAGCTCTTAAAAGGGAAGGGAGGAGAGATGGAGGGTATCTTGCCCGACTCCTCACACCTGCGTGGTGAGCAAATGTTTGATGGTGTTTATAAGCGCCTAGAGAATCATACAGTGATAAAACAGCCGTTGTGAACTGCTTTATGCTCAGCTGCTGAGGGAACCGTCCCCTTTGTCAGGGTAAAAACCGATCAGTGTGTCTTGGCGGAGGTAAGGCTTGTGACACGGTCCCACGTGATGTTCTGATAAGGGCACTGTAGGACAGTAATTCAGGCTGAATCTCTTGGTGCCTGCTGGTTATTTCCACCGGTTTACTGGTGGCATTTTGGATGCACGGTCAAAGTTGCACTACTCTGTTTAGTGTTTTCATTGCACTGGGGTCTCTGCTGACCAGGTTGGGGTTGCTCTAGCTGCTTGGCACAGGCATAGGAAGAACCCAGCTTCTCCTTCCCTCCCCTCTTGCACGTGCTTGTTTCTGATCCTTGGAGGGCAAAAGCCGAAGCTGATTTGACTAGCAGGTCACTGCTTGGGCAGTGGGACAAAGTAATTCACCACATTTGCAGGTACTGCTGTTTTGATGGGCTTGCAGTCACTGATTTACAAAGTTACAGCTGTTCTAACACTTTATCGCCCCACAGTGATGCTGAATATTCTGCAGTGGAGGTTAAGAGCTAGGACCGGTATGAAAGGTGAATTTCTGAGATCTCTTCCTGGCCTTTTCTATTTCAAAAAGTCCCAACAACTCAACTCCTCTGTTTTCCAGCCGCCAGCCTGAGCCACCAAAGAAGGAGAAGGAGGCAACCACAATTACCACCACTCAGTCAAAGAGAGCAGATGAATGGAAGGACCCCTGGCGCCGATCCAAGTCCCCCAAAAAGAAGCTCGGTGTCTCCGTCTCTCCCAGCCGTGCGCGCAGGCGCCGAAAAACCTCCGCTTCTTCAGCATCTGCTTCTGGCTCTTCGAGGTGGGTGAAGGCAAAGAGCCCGCTTAGAATGTGTTGGGGAATGTGACGTGGCTCTTGTCAGTGAAAGATGTTGAGGTGTTTGGGAAAGCAGCTCGAGGCTTGCGGCTGAGTAACAGCTGTAGCCGCTGGCATATGTAGGTAGTGAGATGGAAGCCAAAGGGGGCGCATAACTGGGTGCTGTGATGTGATCTGTTGAAGACCGAGACAAGACAGGTCCTTGGAAAAGCCTCTCTTCAGGGAAATTAGACTTGGAAGCAGTTTGGATGATGAATAGATCACCTAGATGAAAACTGACCTTAATAGGAGCAGAAAGAGCTGGAAGCTGTGAAAAGTGGAGCCTTTTCACTTCAGGTGTGCTGGGGGGATGAGGTGAGCCCACTCCAGGAAGAGCATGCTGATGCTACTGGGGAAAAACAGGGGTTGTAGGGGCTTGACAGAGCCTTAGAGCTACGGTGGAGCTCAGAAACCAACGGGTGCAAGATAAAAACCATGTTTCTGACAGCAGCGCCCTGAATGCAAGGAGAGTTGAGGCATAAGCTGGATCCATTTACTTTAAGTGCTTGAACTTTTGAAGCTCCTGAAAAAAGGGGGGGAGAAGTATCAGAGAGGAATGAGGAACATGCTGAATTGAAGATATGGATCTAAAAACCAAAGCCCTCCTGAAGCAGATAGCTTTTTCTTGCTGGGATCACTGCACCTGAGATTTTTCTGTTTTCTCATACCTGTGTGACCCAACCTAACAGAGGATTGTCTGGTGAAAAGGCGTAAAATTGTGTGGAAGAAGTTCTCAAAATGGGCTGGAAAGTCATTAGCTGAAGGAGGGGAGGCCTGTTCAAGGGCCCAAAGGGGGTTGCAACCACGGGATCCTCTCTAAAGGAAAAGCAGGGGCTGAGGAGAGGCTCTAGTCCTGGCAGACCACCGAGGAGAAGGCAGGTGATTTTTGGAGTAGTGTTTGAGAATTTAGGAAGAGGGTAAGGGAAAGAAGGGCTTCTCGAGGGGTGCTGAATTTTAATACTTTTCTTTCAGGTCCTCTTCTCGTTCATCCACCTATTCTGGTTCAGGTTCCTCGCGATCTCGTTCCAGATCATCTTCTTACAGCTCTTACTCTAGTCGCTCTTCAAGACACAGCTCTTTCTCAGGCAGCAGGTCCAGGTAATGTCTCCTTGGATTTGAAAGTAATGGTGTACTGTTTTCCAAACACTTGCTAACAGCTATTTTTGCTGCTACTTAAAAGCAAATAGCCACTTCAAACCACTTTCCTGAGTGAAGGAAAACCGACAGGCTGCAAGGCAACCTGCTGGTTTGGTTGTTGAATGAAGCAGATACGTCAGCCACCCTCTCCTCTCCCCAGTACCCCCCCCAGCAAGAACCACACTGTTGTGGCTGGGCTGTTTCCCAGGCCTGTGGTAGCTGAGCGGTCACAGCAGCCTGGCTGAGATTAACGTTTCCATCATTTGTATTTTATGATTGGAAGAAGTTGCTGGGGAATGGACCTTTTTCTGTTGTGCTGGAATCTCTATTTAAAGAGGCAAATCACAACAGCTTTAATAAAGAAATGTGTCTTGTGATAGTCCTGACACTTCAAAGGAGCAATTGGGTGTCCCATGCTGATTAAACAGAGGCATGTTTGTTCCTCTGCCACTTCCTTGCCCCTGCGGACAGTTTCCCAAGTCTGGAATATGCATAGTAGGAGAACTGGCTCCTTCGACAGGCACCTCTTCAGAGCTGAAATCCCACAGATACCCAGAGCGACTCACGCACTTGATGGGAGCACACGGTGTCACTTCTGGAGAGGTGGTTTCTCCTGGGAAGGGCTCAGGTGGGAGTTACCTCGACGCCAGCACATGTGTGTTTGTGGGGAGCGGGCTGACCTTCCCCATCCACCCATTTCGGACTCTGTTCCTTGCAGGACAATGCCAGGCACAGGTGACACACTTTGAGCATGTCTCTCTCGGAAGGGAGGAGGGTGAGGAACACCCAGGTGCCTAACTGTTCTTCACAAAGCCAGACACCTCGGTGACTGACGTGCTGAAGTACGAGGCTGCAACAAGGGCACTTCCAGTCTTGGCAGGGGGGTGAATCACTCAAACGCCCGCATCTGGTGTGCTGTGTCAGTGACTTGCCTCTTTGGTCAGTCCTGATCTTGGGAAACACCCAAGTGCCTTTTGATCTGTTGGCTTCGATAGACTCTGCTTGATTTTTCGCTCCTTGTGTTCCAGAAATTACAGATGGAGTTCTTTGTGTGTTGTTCTCCCAGGATGGTTTGGTTTTGGCTGTTGTTTAAAGGATAAACTGCAGTAAGAGTTACAGGAACATAAAGCAGGTTGACATAAGTCATGCGAGTCAAAATCCCACTTACCTTCCTGTAGATATACTCTCCCTCTGGAGAGAATACAGAGGAGAAAGCCTCAGGTGTTGGTGTGGAATAACTGAGAGTACCTCTCTCACAGCTGACCCTTCTTTTTTTTTTTTTTTTTTTTTTTTTTTTTTTTTCTGTGTCTCCCACTGGTCTGGTCACAGAAGCTGGTTTTGTTGAGCAGAGTCCAAATATAAAACTAGGATAAACTCAGCCCTATGGTTGAGTATGGTCAGTAGCCGGAGAAGGGAATGGTGGCTAAATGCACTGAAAGCCAGGAAAGCCTTCTGCTGTCCCAGAGATTTAGCTGAGCAACGTGTCCTTCCCTTTCCAGATCACGGTCCTTCTCGTCTTCACCCTCTCCTTCTCCAACGCCGTCTCCACACAAGCCGCTTGCGAAGGCTAAAGGGGAGTTATTACCACCTGCTGGTAAAGGGTAAGGCTCCATCTCTGTTCTGATAATGCAGGAAAGTCTCCAAACAGTAGCCTGATCCCTGAGTCAGACCCTTCTGCCCTGGTTGACAGTTTTAAAGAAGAAATGGAAGATGCAAAATACAGCCCACATAGAGTAATCCTTAGCTTTGCATATTTAATTAAACGATGGCACTTCCATCATTAAATCTAAGTTAAAACTCTACAGGTATCCGTAAATATTATACAGAGTCATTTAGACTGGAAAAGACCCATAAGATCTTAAGTCCAACCTAACACTACCAAGTCCACCACTAAACCACATCCCTACAGTGTCACGTTGAGGGCCCCTGTCACGTATAAATGAGTGTTTTAAACACACAGGTGATTTACTATTTAAACATTCTGTGTTTTCAGAGATCTTTACAGAGAAGCTATAAGTAAGTTTAATTCATTCCTCTACTGTAGCTTTTGTTAATGCAGAGCCTTAGAATAAAGAAGTGGTTCAGCCTCGTCTGTTATTAATATCAGACACAAATTGGAACAGCGCTGGAGCTGTGAAACTGTTTTTGGCAGATTGTGCCAACGCTCCTTCTCTTTTAAATACTTGAAGTTGCTATTTCACAAACTCCTGTAATACATAGTAAATTATGGAGACGTTGGAGGGTGACACAACGCTGTAGTGATGTCACCTCTTTTAACGTGACCTGCAAATAAATTACAGGATAATCCCCTTTGCCAATTCTCCAGAATACAGGATAATCCCCTTTGCCACACTTTTTGAACCTTACTGACCCCTTTTTCTCACCTCAAAGGGTTCAGCTCTTTAAGGACACGCTCTCTGCCTGCAGCGATGTCTTTACACCCTTGTAGTGCACATTGCAATGCTGGTTTGGTAACACACGACACCAGCCTGCACTAGCGTGGGGATTGTTTTCACTGCGTAACGTTGCACCCACTTAATCCTGTGCTCTCCAGGGGATGAATGCAGATATTCTTAAGCACAAGAGGAGGAATTAACAGTCTCTATTTTTGCATGCAGACAGCTGCCTCCTCCCCAGGTAATAGTAGGCATGACATCAGTGCTGGGGATGTTGAGCACTAACCAGCTATTAGAGCAGAGGTTGGAGTGAGCGGCGCTGAGGAGCCGCAGCAGGTGCTAGATAAAGTCACAAAAATGTCGCGTGGCAGCCCTCTGCGGTGGTGTTACCCGTCAAGTGCTCTGCACAAGGGGCATTGGCACACACAGGAATTTTTTGCACCCTGCTGATCCTTGTGAGGGAAAAGAACATTTTTGCATAAACCGTGTGTGTCTACAGCCTGGCAGATTTTAAGTAGGTGCATGCATTTTGCATGAAAATGCACAGAATCGAATGGCTAAGAAACAGCAATTCCACACATTCTACTTCATTAGATAATTTACAACTCATGTGTGTCCAAAATCAGCTGTTGCACAGTAACTTTGCCCAGGGCAGGGGGGGAGTCCCCGGGATCCCTGGAGGGGTTGAAGAGTCGGGCTGAGCCAGCGCTGAGGGATCTGGTGGGGTTGGGAACGGTCAGGGGGAGGGTCATGGTTGGGCTGGAGGAGCTGCAAGATCTTTTCCAACCGAGGTGATGATTCTATAATTCTAACCTGTCTCTGAAAAGGTGACTTGGTTTAGAATATGGGAAACAGATCCCTTTAGGGGAGTCCGTATTGTTTGGGAATGTTTTGGTGAAACAGTCAAGTCTCTGTAGCTACAGTATCTGTGTAATATTTAGTCAACAACAAACACTAGTGCATTTCATTGCTCATCAGAATGTCTCTCTGTGGTCTGTACCTATGGACTTTGATCACCCATGTGAAAATTTTAATTTTTGTAGTGAAAAATCTGTGAAGAAACTAGCTGCCCTTCCAGTCCCTCAGCCACTCACTAAAATTACAGCAGCTGCACCGGAGCCAGCCAAACCAGGGGATAATCGAGAGGCAAGAAGGAAGGAACGTCAGACAAGGACTCCACCCAGGAGGTAAGAAGGCTGTGGGGGTGGAGTGAGGCTTGATCCCCTGGAAGATAGAGCAAATCCTGGGTTTCTCTTGGGAGTACCAACTTCCAAGGACTCTCTGGTATTAAAGGAGAAATCTGTTTCCTGAGGCAGGAAGGAAGTAGGAAGAGGGAAGGATTTGGGGGTGAATGCTGGTGACTTGCCACAGCAAGTGGCTCCTGCCTCCGAAGGCTGGTCGGGGGCTGAAGTAGGTGGAATATGAGAAACATGTCAAAATGCAGGCTCTGCAGGGCAAAAGCAGGCACGTTTTTGAGCCGCTGGTTACAGAGGCCACGCAGCCAGGAAGCAGAGGTGTGTTTGGTCCAGAGAGCAGATCCAACGTGTTGGAGGATCGAGGTTTGTGGTGATGGGTTTTGGACCCTGTTTACTCCTAACCACATGCTAGTACACAGAGGGAGTGTTTCTGTGTGGTGCCAGGAGCTGGTCAGCATCCAGCAGTACTGCTGGAGGAGAGGAGGGAAAACTCTGCTCCTTTCCCTGTCCTCAGTACACAACTTGCTGGCTCCCCTGCTCCACTTTCTCTTCCTGGCTTCATCCTGTGTGACTAGTCTTGAGTGTTTTCTGTCTGTCCTCTGGTTTTTGTTGTCTTTTTCTCCTCCCTTTGCATTTGGAATGAGAGAGGCTTCTGATAGTTTTCAAACAAGAAGCGCTTGTCTGTATTTAAATTTATCAAGCTTAATCCATTGTACTATGTTTAAAAATGTTACAGGATAAATGGAGGTAGCATTGCCTGCTCTTGGAGGGACACGGAGTCAGCTAAGCACAGCTGAAATTCATCACACATCCTTCTTACATTAGAAGTTTTGAAACGGCGGCATGGTACTACGTGCCTAGTCTAGGGAAGCAGTAGTTTAGTGCCCAAAAAATGTATTTACTGGAAAAGTTTTTGAGGAGACAAGGAGACTTGAGAATGTTTTATGCCTGCAGTAAGGTGTATATAGTTTTCTTGGATCACTGAACGATGATTTTTGTCCGTGTGTTTTGAAGATGGCCGTAAGTCTGTTTCCTGTTCAGGTTTTCAGAACCATCCCAAGTCGGTTCTTAATTTTGCATGGGATAACTTCTCCCGTTTCTTCCCAGTAGCTGAAGAAAAGCCCTGGGCTGAGCAGTTACGTCTCCATAGGTGAAAACTGATCACGGAAGTTTCTTTTCCCTAGAAGCTCTGTCAATTCTAGTTTCCGTTTCACTTTAACTAGTTAATAATAATCTTGCCTGTCTTTAGTCACCTTCTCTTATTCCTTATTCCAGTCTACGGTTTTTTCATGCTTATACCCATACAAACCCCACTGCCCTGCACTCTCCCTGCTATGCAAATGACAAACAGCTCTAATTAATTATGTTAGTACTGGTGTGTTAGTCACAAAAAATGTGTGTGATTTATTTGTGCAGCGCGAAATACAAGGTAGTCCCACTGTGTTACGCAGTTAGCAATTTTTCTTTGTAGGAAGCGTTTGCTCCTGGTGTCGTTAAAGGATTAAGGCACTTTAGCTCGTTCTTTGGCTCTCGTTAACGTTATTCAGTCTTGCATAAAACATCTACTGTTCAGAAAACAGATGCTTCCTCAGGACTGGGAAGGCAAGGTTGAGAAGAACATCCGAAACCATCCCATTTGCAAAACACTAATCTTGTATACAATACAGGACAACAACGTCACGTTCCAGCTGTCCCTAAACAGTTTCTTCTAACCCCGTTTGACGGCGAGGTGAGGATGTCGTTTGCTGTCTTGCAGGCGGACTATCAGCGGCAGCATCAGTGGCAGTGCCAGCAGCTACAGTGGTTCCAGTTCCCGATCTAGGTCCTTGTCTCGGTCTCTCTCCAGATCTCATTCCAGATCCTCGTCAGCCTCAGTCTCCCACTCCCCGTCGGGGTCCAGGAAATCCAGGTACAGCCTCGACCCTTCGTAACCTTTGTTTGAAGTAGGAGGAGGTTATAACTACTCTTAACTGTTGTGGTTTCTTGCAGCGAAAGCTCTCTCTAGCTTCGAGTATCAGAAGCTGTAGGTAACTAGGACGTGGGACAGGCTCGGTTCTGTGTGGTGTTAGGAATCCAGAGTCCTGGATCCTGCCAGTAGTACAACATTGGTAGGGTTCTTGTGGCCTATTCAAGGAAATAATCTGTCGTGTGTACCAAACTGCCCTTATTTACCTAAATTTTGACCAAAACGTCTCCTTATGGCCAGGCTGATCCCACATCCCAATTTATTTACAAGTTAACAGTTTCAGGCTACAGAGCTTTGCTCTTCTAAACCTCTACTAGCTCTGGTTACTGAATGTCCTTAGGGAAGATGCTTGGCCTGTCAAGGAGAGGTAGGTCAGAAATTACCTACAGGCCCAACTAATGATATTTCTCCTTTGCTGGCAAAGCTGCATGGCCAGTTCCTTTTGTGTTTAGCCCCAAGTGACTAGTTCTGTGGCTGTCAGTCTGTGGGATTTGTAAATGGCTAACTCCAGTAAAGAGCCCTGAAATAAACCTCTTTCAAGTCCTCCGTTCGGGTTTTTTGCATCTGTTCTCACACAGGAATCCCTGAAACCTCACAGGCAGCCTTGAAGCAGGACGCTTCCCTGTGATGCAGATTTAGAAGTAGACCTGATGGTCTAAAACCAGTGGATTAAATAGGACTTGTCTCTGACCAGCGGTAATTCACATATCTGAACTCTGCGAAACTCCAAGGTTCAACATCCGCATTATTTTACGGAAATACAGGCTTGTTTACTACGTGCTTGTGGCATTCATCAGATCAGGCAGGGGTGATGCAAGAGGTTCAGAGAGCGCTGGGGCAGGCTGGCTCGGCGCTGCCCTGCCGCGGGGGGCTTGAGAGGAGAAGATGGGACAAACCTCACGTGGGGGATGGCTCGCGTGGCGCTGGGGCCGCGCTTTGTGCTGTCACGGGTGTGTGGGTAAGGGGGAGATGTAGGAAATACACGGTGTGTGCCCAGACAAGATTTGCTGTCACAACCTCGTAGCCAGGAGCTTTCCTGGAGAAGGAGCTTCTGGCTCATCCACTTGTCGTTGCAACAGTCCACGCGACCTCTCAAACCTTGTCTCTGTCAGGGTGCCAGCAGGTAGAGGCTTTGCAGCTCGTTCCAGGGCTCATCTGTGCTAAAGCTGCCGCTGCCCGTTCAGCCATACGTGAGCCAGCTTCCAGTGAGAGAGCTTGGAGCTTGCTGGCAGGGCAGTTGCTGGAGCTCAGAAGTCCCAGGGGCCTGCAGAACCTGCTGGAGAGGCTCTGAAATAGTCCCGTGCTCGTGTGGTCCCGCGTGTCGGCGGCTGCGATGCTGCCGTGGTGGTGTGGCCCTCAAGGGAGGTCTGCTGCGTAGCCCTGTATTTTTGTCTGATACCTTTCTAAGTAGAAAGTCCTCCTTAAATGACTGTAATGGTTGTCTGACGTTTTTAATGTTGTGAATGCATTAGGAGATAGCCATCTGAAGGCGCTGTTGGAAGATAGGCATCTTATAGGCATCTCCCCTGTCATTATCAGTTGTGACAGTATGTGCATCCTCAAAACAGGCAGCTGGGCTCTCCCGTACCCTGGGGAGCTGGGCAGGAGCTGTGGGCTGTAGGATTCCAGGGCTTTTAAAGCCTCTGTGAATAAATGTGTCGAACAACAAAAACATTGCCTGGTAACCCATGACCTGAGCCGTAACACTGACCTGTACGTGATGGTGCATGCCCTGCTTTCACTTTTTGTTTACCTGGGGAAACCCTGACCTGTTTACATGTTGCCTTAATCCTGTTTATAAACAAACAGTACTTTCTAGGCTTATATCTACCCTGTTTGGGATTTTTCACAGCGTCTGCACCCGGGGAGAAACACAGCCTTTGTCTCTTCCTGGTTATTGCCTGCCTTAGCAGCTTCCTGACGCCCCAGCTGCTCCGGGGAGTTGAAACTAAGGGTGTCTGTCTCATCGCTGCCTGGTTCCTGTTGCCTTCGTGACTGTAACGGGCTGTTGGCTCTTTCCAGGTCCCTGAGCGTGAGCAGCGTTTCTTCTGTCTCTAGTGCCTCCTCTAGCAGCAGCTCCGTACGCAGCGCCGACTCCGAAGACATGTACGCAGATTTGGCCAGTCCTGTCTCCTCAGCCAGCTCCCGATCCCCAACCCCAGCACAGCAGAAGAAAGGTAGAGGTACCTGGTTTGATATTTTTTTTTTCTCTAAGGGGTCCTGGGAAGAGAAGAGGGGAGCAGAGATGTGCGTTCCAGCTTCCTTGGTGATACTGTGGGCTCCAGGAAAGCTGCTGAGCGGAGGCTGATGCTTGTGGCTGGCTTAGTCTAGGGGAGCCCAGAGGCTTTACCCGAGGAGGGAGGCTCTGGAGCAAATACACCTATGCATCCTTCCATCCCTATGTGTCTGGCTGTAAAGATGCCTTTGCCTGCCTGGGAGCTCTGCCTGACGTCCCCCTCTTACCTTGTTCTCTTTCACCTTTGTGGGGTGATGCTCAATCTTCGGGGTAGCTCCAGTATCATGCTGCTCCTCCTCTGTTCTTTTTAGACCATAGAGTTGAAGGCAAGAGCCTTTTGTTCGTTGTCTCTTATTTTAAGCCTCCTCTCTGTGGAATTTCTGTTTCCTGAATCTTTTAACCCTGGGGCCATGTGCTGTGCTGACTGGTGTGGGCTTTTTCAGTCCCTGGAGCAGGGTCTTCTCACCCTGCTCTCTAAAGGGAAGGGTGAGTGAAAGGAATTGGTCTCAGGCCACTACATCTGCCCTCTTTATTTTTAACAGGAAAGTCAAAAAAAGAAGACAGTGCTAAAGAGGAGAAGCGGAAACGGGATGTGCCTGCTCAGCTCCTGAAATCAGCCAAGCCCACCCAGGGGAGCAAATCGCAGCAGCTCCTGCAGACCCAGCAGCCCTCGGCCCCCCAGTCTCAGCAAGGGGGCTTCAGCGCTCACAAAGAGATCAAACTGACGCTCTTGAATAAGGTGAGAGGTGGGGTGGGAGCGATTTCCCTCTGCCGGGAGGGTCCGAGGAGTGGGCGGGATGGCTCCCGGGGCTCGGGGCTGGCAGAAGGGACGCTCCGGGCTCCGCGCTGTGGGGATGAGCTCAGCCGGGTAGGTCTGCAGCTGGGATCGGAGGGTGGCAGACAGAACCAGTCTGGCAGCACACACCCTGTGGTGGCTTGAGTTTGGGACTGTGTTGGCGGCTCCCCTGGGGCACATTCCTGCTGCAGCTTCAAGGGCTTTTCCCCGCTTTCTTGAAGGCTGCAGCGCGTGCACTGAGGGGAAGATGTGCGCGGCGCAGCTCCCCACGCGCTGAAAGCATCTTCCCTGTGTGCTTCTGAGCCCGCTCCCCCCTCCGCCCGCTCTGGAGTCATTAACTGAGTCAGGAGGTAGAAGTGGGCATCACCTCGCCCCTCTGGGGTACCAGCCACGCTTTCCACGGGGAGCCTGGCTCTTTCCCCTTCAGGCCTGAGCCCGATGCCCCAGTTCGCTGCCTTCGGCCGCGATTGCAATCCAGATCACGTGGGAGACTTTGGCCTCGTGGGGTTTTTGGGCCGGAGCAGGGTGTTGGCCCCAGTCACATGGGTAGGTTCCTGTTTTTTGAAGCGTTAATGTGTTTTTTTTCTGACAGTCCAAATTCCCCGATGCCATCTGAGGCTGCAGTTTTCTCTTACTTCCCTGTGCTATGACGTGAGGCGCCTTTATCGAGGCCGTGAAGCATGCTCTGCGGGGAGGGGCGTGCAATTACACAGAACTACCGGCTGGCACGCTCACGTCCTGGAAGAAGGCACGGCTCCACATGCCTCCTTGACATGTGCTATCCTCAGTGCTGCCAAAAAAACCTCTACAAAACTCTGCTCTTTTCCTCTTTCTGACAAATCTGAAAATAGTGCAGTGCCAGGGCCAGAGGTTTGCTTACGGTTAGGGGGGGAATTAGATGATGCTGGTGATGGTTGGGACTGGTACACACAGAGAGGCGCTTGCAGGAGCCAGCCAGCAGCACATCACAGGCACCAGGCACAGGAAATATCTCTGCCTGCTTCTCTCCCCAGAGGGAAGTAGCTGCTCAGCTCCGTTGTCTGTTTGAATTCCCATTTCAGGCAGCTGACAAAGGAAGCAGGAAGAGATACGAGCCAGCAGACAAAGACAGGCCGAGCTCTCCTCCAGCCAAACGGGCGAACCTGTCACCTGACAGAGGTGAGACATCAGCCGTCCCAGGGACTCCTGGCCTGGCTCGGTTCCTGCTCCGCCGCTCGAGGCGGTGCTCCAGCGACAAGTATCCCGTGAAAGTCTCTGCTGCAAGAGTCCACTCGCTGGGGAGGTGAATTGCAGGCGTGTGTCCTTGCAAAACCTCGGAGTGTGTGCGATTTGCCACCAGATAATGCGGGCGGATCAGCCGTCCTGCTGCAAAAACACGGCGGAGGTGAGACGCTCTGGTGTGTGAAGTAAGCGAGGTGAGGTCAGCCCTGGGCAGGCCAAACTCAGCCTGGCCTAGCTGTCTTGTGGTGCACGTTGTGAGGGCCTCGGCTCCACTATGTCTGTGCAACTCCGCTGTGAGGAAAAAAAAAAAAAAAACCAAAAAAAACCACATTGCTTAGAAGACACGGGTGCTCATCGCCACTGCGGGTACGTACTCATCCCTGTTCTCTAGTAACGGCGTTGAATGTGGCTCTGGAAAGTTGTAGGGTTTTCCCGAAGTGTATCCCAGGGTCTTCTCTGCCTTGTATTTCAGTGCCTCACAATGGATCTTGGTCCTCCCCGTAGCAAGGCTTGTGGCCGTGCTTAGAAAGGGAGCACGGGCCGCCAGGGCTGCGGGATGGCTGCAATAATCAGCTTAGATCACCCGTCCTGCGAAACGAGGCGATTTCCCCACTCGTGCGTGACACAATCTGCCCTGTGTGTTTAGAAAGACACGGGCTTTCCAAGTGTTCTCCTGCGTCTGAATCCTCAGCAGCAGTGTTAATTAGCACCTCGGAAAACCGAGCTAGGGAGCTGCGTTGAGAGGGACCTAAATGCCACGCTCCAGCCTCCGCTGCCGGCCCTGAAAACCGAAGGTGGGGGGAGTCGTCAGCCAGAGGTGCCTGGTTTTGACGTACAAGCCAGCGCTGACACGTGATGTTGTTTTCCCTGTTGTCTCGGCTGTAGGTGTATCTTGTTGACTCTGGGTGCCAGCCAGAAAAAAATTTCTGTGCTAATAGCCTGGTTGCATTTGACTCCTGCAAAGGCAGCGTGGAAGGGACTGGGTGAGGTTGAAGTTCACTGGGATCTAGTTCACAACTGCTGCTGAGCTGCAGACAAATGAATGGGCCAACCTAGCAAACTGTGCTGATTTGATAGATACACAGATGTGGATGTAATTATACACTTTATTTGTTGTCTGTACGGTCTAAAGCATTTTTAAGCAGTAGAAAATGGGACGCAAGCCCTGAAGGCAAGTCAGCCTCCTCTCCCCGTGGTACCCTTGACCGAGTTGAGACTGAGCAGGGGCACCCTCCTGCACGCAGCCTGCGCTCTGGTGTCGCAGCGCAAAGCCGGTTGGGGTTTGCACCCCGAGTCTGACTTCCCTCTTCTGTAACCTCGCTGCCATCAGGTGTGCAGCTGTAGCTGCCTCTGTCCGCTGGGATGGCAACGGCGTTGGGAAACCCGCTGGATAGTGCTGGTGCAGGACCCCAGCGGGCTTCCCACGGCCCGTGAGCCCTCGCAGCAGCTCCGTTTGGGCAGGGCACGATGGTTCAGTCTGTGCAGAATAAACACGGGGGTGATGCTGCCCGGGGGTTGGCCCCAGCTGGCTGCGAAAGCGGGGGAGCTGCACTCACCCAGCACTCTTCAAGCCAAAACACCCTGTTACTGTGCGGATGCCGCTGCACCCATTGCACAGAAACTGGATGATGTGCCGGGCGCTGACTCGGTCTGCAAGGGCTGGCCCTGCCCCGCAGGTTTGCAAGCAAAGCTTGGCCTAAAAGTGCAGCAGAGGAGCCCGGTTCCAGCAGCCGAAGGGTGAGGAGAGGGCCAGCGTGGCTCCTGCAGGTGGTGTTTTGTACAGCTGACCGTGGGGCACAGCCCTGATGAGCTTTTCTGCTCCCTGTGAAGACGGGGTGCACAACAGTAGGTTCCTTCTCTGGCTGCTGCTGGACTTGGCTTTTTTTTGTGTGTGATCTGGCTGGTCTCCAGAGAGCATCTGCACACCAGGCAGTGTAGTGACCCGTACCTTGATGATACATCTCCCTTCTTGTTGTCCCGACAGGCTCTCGCGACAGGAAAGCGACTGGGAGACTCTCTTCACCCAAGCAAGAGCGACAGAGGGGCCAGAACCCGAAACCTTCTCCCGCGCAGACGGACAGGTCAGTGCCCCCTTGTTTGTGTGGGTTTCTTCTGGGCCAGGCTGTGCTGCTCACTTCTCCAGCGGCTCAGTCCCTCCTCTCTGGGCAGCTCTGAGGCTTTCTGGCCGTAGTTTCCAGTTGCCGTGGAGGTACAGGGAGAGCAAGGACATGAAGCTCTCTGGGCAGGAGCCAGGGGTGCTCAGGGCTTCATGTGGAAGCCACTGGCTGAGCTGTTTCAGCTCAGAAAGAAGCAGGAGCCTGGGGGTTTTCTCGAGGTCAGCTCCAGCAAGAGGAGCCAACTGGGTTAGTGCAGGCTGAGTGGTGCCAGCGCCTCTGCCTCTCGTAGTGTTAATGAAAAAGAAAGTACAAGCCCTTCACCCACCGCCGAGCGCCTCGTGGCACCTGGCTCGGGTACCCGATTCCCTTTTTTACACACTGGTGCACCGTCAGCCGCTCGCTTGGCTGCTGTGAGACATACAAGCGTGGCCCCTGCCTGAGTCTGAACAGTGACTTAGACATGGCTTTGCGCCTTTCCATCCCCTCTGGTGACGGGTGACCAGCAAAACGTCCGGTTTCTTGGCAGCCTGCGCCCGCTGCTGCGCTGGGAACGTCCCATTGCAGAACTGGATGTGTGGCTGCAGGGGCCTGGGGCTGTGCTCTGCCCAGAGCCCTTCAGCTAAAGGCTTGTGGAGCACTTTCTGCGGCACACCTAAAGCTTCCTTGGGCCTCCTTGCCCGTAGCCAGCCAGCACTGCTTTGCATTTCTCTGGTGTCATCTCTCCGAGGATCTCTGAGCAAACAGACGCAGCCCTGTCCCGCACCCCTGCGTTCCCTGGCCGGCAGCACTCGTGTCATCCCCTCTCCCCAGCCTGGGGCACGAGCCAGCCTTAATTTCCATGCGTCAGAGGCTTCCCAAACCAAAACCTAGCCCCGGCTGCCACAGCCCTGTCCTTCAGGCCCCGAGGTTCTGTTTTCTAGCAGTGAAGAGGAAGCTCAACCTTTCCAGACTGGTGGTTTGGTTCTTGGTTCTTGTCCCTCTTCTCTCTGCTGCTCTTCGGGTTGTCAGCGTCGTGCCCTGTGCGGGCCCGGGGGGTGGTTAAGGACACGCTGGGTTCCCCTGGGGCAGCCAGGGGGTCTGTGTCCTCAACTGCTGGGGGTGTTTGGGTCGCGTTTGCACAGCCCCCCTTCAGTGGAGTAGAAAAAGAACGGAGGGGACGGTGACATGGGGCAGCAGCGGTGCCACAGCCTTTCCCGGGTGCTCCGAGGCCTTGGGCAGAGCTGCCGAGGCGTGGTGCGGAGCTGGCAGCGCTGCGAAGCCCCGGCAGGCTGCTGAGGCTGCTCTGCGCCCGGGCCCCACCGTCCCAGTCCCACCGTAAGGTGACACGGTGGCTCCCGTTCTCCCGACGCCTCGGGGGGAGCGTTCCCCCAGCTCTGCTTTGCTCCCTCAGCAATGCAGCATCAGCACAGAGCTGAGCAGGGGGGGGGCAGCCCCCCGCAGCCCCCAGCACCATCGCTGATGGGATGTGAGACTGTGGGGACGCTCCTGGGCTACCCCTCACCCCTTCTCTCTTTTTTTTTATTTTTTTTTCCTCTGCCAGGAAACGCCAGCTCTCACCTCAGTCCAAGAGCTCCAGCAAAGTGACGAGCGTTCCGGGCAAAGCATCTGAGCCGGGCCCCACGGGTGCCAAGGCGGGCAAGTCCAGCACCCTGTCGCGCCGGGAGGAGCTCCTGAAGCAGCTCAAGGCGGTGGAAGATGCCATCGCCCGCAAACGGGCCAAAATCCCGGGGAAAGTATAGTGGGCCGTGCGCGGAGCACCGCTCTGCCCCGTAGTGACTGTTCATGTTTTTATAAATAGTGTAAAAGCGGCCACTTTGGGATTTTGCAGTTCTGTCTTATTTTGGCTGCGATTCTTTTTAAAAAAAGAAAAACCCATTGCAAAAAAAAAAAAAAAAACACAACAAAAAAACA